TTAAATGAGGGATTGCCGTTGGCATATGTACATATTCCCATAAATGGCACACGTGAGTACACCCATTACCCAAAACTGATGACACAGATTCGTCCGCTTTAGTACCATAAACATGTACGAGTATCGTTGGCAATCCATATCTTGCCGCAGTGACCACGCCATTACTTTACAACTCGCCTGCGTGCCAACAATGGTGAGGTCACTGGGGCCGGGTCCCGAATATGAAAGGACTCCAAGGACGATCGAAAGACAGCTCGGACACGTACCGGAGCATTCGGGACAGTGGAGGCGGCGTGACTTTCAGAGAACCAAAAGCGCGCAATGGGTACGCGAGCATATTTTTTTAAATGTCATTCCCGGTTGACCATCATCCGGATTACATCTGGGATACCGCGTTAGCGCTGGGATACGCATGATTAATTGCAGGATCTACCGCCAATTCGAACGATGGCCAATTGGCCCATAACTTTATTAAAGGCACCCGACGTATCGTGAGTATAGTCGACACCTTCTTGCAACCCTTGCAAGTGAAGCTACTTCCGCGGAATGTATAAACGTGGAATAAAACTAATGACACTCAAGCCACTACATTCTACAACAACGCTACTGCCACCACTGCTCACTACAAAAACGCTAACGGCAGTGCGAATGGCAGTGCTGCTACCGACGGCAGTGGAAGCCGCGGCACGTCGTGATGTGGTGTCGGCAGCCGCATTCTCTCCCACTTCCGCTGCCGTTAACGCGGAATCCGCCACGGCGACTTGACGACATCGAGACAGACGTGAAGCGTGTTCCAGAAAATTATAGCAGATCTGCACGTAGGATAATCGACACGGTAGACTACCGCTGAGAAAGTAATACGTAAATGCTTTAATTACTGTCACACTTAATCGAACGATTGCCGTTGGCACATGTACATATGGCACACGGGCACACGGGACCTTAACGCGGGTCCGAAACGGTTACAGCCTGGTGTGCACCCGGCTGCAACGGTTTCGGACCTGCGTTAAGTAAAATGGCCCGGTACATAGCGTCGAAAATGGGATACATATACTAAAACTTTTTCTTTTGCGCACTCCGAATCACTTTTTTGTAATACTTTATGTCATTCTAAAGCTAAACGATTTGTTTACATTGTTCTGAAAACCGTTTGCGCGCGCAACATCCGGTTGCCAAAATATGGCGTACTCTGTACTAAAACAGCCGAAAAGTTTAAATGCATCGGTTTGTACCAAAAGTCTGGTTATTACCCGATCTTCTTGAAACGGCACCCTATCGTTTCGGAAACCATTCATTTCGGAAACCATTCATTTCGGAAATCATTCATTTCGGAAAACATTCATTTCGGAAATCGTGCATTTCGGGAACCATGCATTTCAACACTTTTCCTTTACAGTTAGTGACAGAAAACGTTATTTCGGCCATTATTGTACAGAAACAATTATACAATTGTGAATTGTCAACGAAAGAGCATTTCAGGGATCTTTTTCATAAACTTTCATTTACTGTGTCTGTACTGAACTGACAACTGCCATGTCGACGGTTCGATTTGCTTGTGTTGTGGGTTACAACGTTACAACTTACAATGAGAGCACAAGAATTAACTGCATCATAATCGAGCTCAGCAATGTTACCCGCATTTAGCGACTATTAGTGCGCACGATCGAACACGGCTGCAGATAAGCGGCGTCATAACCAAAACAATAATCTCTGACACACGAAAAAAACCACAGCAGTTGCGCGTAGAAGTATGTCATAAAACCGTGCTTATAAACCATGCATTTACATGTTGCAGCCTAACGTGAGACGTGCCGATAAAACAATATGTTGCGTTGATGTTGCGCTGAAATGAAGATTGTACAGAATTTGTACATGGAATACAGTTATTTCGGGAACCCGTTTAATTGTACAGATACAAAGTACACAGACTGTACAATGGCTACTAAACATACTAGTACCAGTTATAATAATTAATCTACTGTTATAATAGTATATTAATATTAAACTACTGTGATAACGTATGGTTTCCGAAATGAATGGTTTCCGAAATGAACGGTTTCCGAAATGAATGGACACCCTTGAAACTTTGCTGCAAAAGACACATGGCCATAAAGTCAAAAGTGAACCAATTTTAGGCTCATAGCACTTTCCCATAATTTTAAAATGAATTATTTGATACTGCATATTTGTAATGATACCGGTATCACCGAGAATCGACAGTCTTCCCAGTAAACTTAAGCATTCCTGTAATCCATGTACGATTTCACTTTCTCGGAGTATGTGTGAATATGCGTGGAATAAAACTAATAATTTTTCGGTTAAAGAAAAAACTAATAACACTACATTTCACAACATAGTATTGCTGCCGGTGCTACTGTTCACAGCACAAATTAAACCAGCTAATGTCAGTACGTACAAAACAGTCGTTCGGCAATTTTTGGGAAAAACAATCCACTGTGCCACGAACACAGGACACTACGTACATTAGAGTTTTCGTACATAGTCCTTGTCGACATATGGGTAAGCACTTACATTATACAGACTGTATACGGTATGTCCGGACGGTATCTCCATGGATACCAGAAATGCGCACCGGTGCAGCTGTAACGACTGCGGTTTGCTTTCGGCGCGCAACCGTAAGTGATTGTGCATTCATGAGCAGAGGAAACACACAGCACGCGTGAAACACCATGTGCAGGTTTTTGAAATTTAGAAATAAATTCACCACGTTTCAAAAATGAATTATTTTCAAATTTTGGAACAAAATGCTGAAAGCCTGGTTCGGTGAACAAACCACCTTCATGGTTAGGTGCGTTTTCGTGAAAAATCGAAGATAATCTCGGTTGATTATGTGACTTTACGTACTCGTTCATATCACCGTGCGCTTGAACGTTTGGAAACTTTATTTCCCCCATAACGTCCTGACCGGATGCTTCGCCGACGAACGGTGTGCGCGCCAACGTGCACAGAACATTCGGTTTCTCAATGGCCCAAAGCAGTGGGAAAAACGTGTTTGGAACCTCGCGAAAACGGAAGTTTTCGTGTAGCGGTGCATGAAGGCGAATCAGTTGGTATGAACTGGCATACATTCCATAAGGGAACTGACCCGGTACATTAAGCAGATACTCTTACAAACGTCCGTATACTAAAAATACCGTAATTATCGAATTTGAAGCCCCCCCAAAATACAAGCCCCCCCGTAATTAGAGCCCACCCCTAAGGTCGTTTGAAAGTTATAAGCCCCCCCCGAAATAGAAGCCCATGGGCTTAATTAAATACCGTAAAGCCCATACTAAAAAATGCCAAAAAGCTGGCTTGAAAAATTGAAGCCCTCCCCTAAATACAAGCCCATGCCCGTAATTGGAGCCCACCCCGTGGGTCATTTGAAATATTTGTAACCCTGGGCTTCTAATTCGATAAATACGGTAATTCAGGAAATTTCCGTCTTTTGCAGCATGATAGTGTATGACTATAACACTTAAGGTAATACAGCCATGGGCAAAGGTCAACAGGGCGGCGCCAAAAAAAGCAATAAAATTTATGAAAACTACTGTAGATTACATGTATAATAGTGGTGTTCTAGTGATATTTTGAGATTGCTTCGTATTACATCTGGGAAAATATGGGCAATGTTAAAAAAGAACAGCAATGGATTCTTTGTATGATTCAATTTGAGCTCTAATATTGGTTGCCATTACGAGATCCGCAGATCGAACACGGGAACGTACAAAGTTAGAAAGTATGCGCATGCGCATATTATAGCGTATATCTTAATACGCAACTATAATTAATTATTACGTCGACCTAAATGAGAAAAATTATCTCGGAATCACCTTCGCCTATTAAAGTGCAGGCGCACAAAACAGATACACACTCGCCACACGGAAACTTTTTCATTTTCTAACAACGATACTCGATTTGATAGATTCAGTTACTAAAAATTTTGGTAACATTCACCATCACCGATTCACCATGCAGGGTGCCAATTGCCACATAACTCAGTGAAATTGTTGACATTTCCGTTGGAATTACGTGTACATTGGGCTCAGTAATTACTGTACACCTACTTAATTTCAACAGGATGAAAATGCAGTTTGTGCACAAATAGTGCATGCTGCAGTGCAGTTCATCATGATACCTGAGATACACATCAAACAGTTAGAAACGCACAGGAAAGAAACAGTGGCATAGTATAATCTGCAGTAACCCTTGGCCTGATCGACCGATACCTGCCAAATTTGACAACCGTTTAGTAATCTAAATATTATTTCTCTGTAATTCATCGCAAGCCATTCGTGCCCATAAAACCCATGAGTACTCGTCACACGACCAGTTCTTTCGATATACGCATTATTGAGCCCGTATAATAGTAATTATGTGACATTAAATTCTCATATTGCTGCGGATAGCTGTCTATAAACGCTGTATACTGCGCATCCACCAAGTGCAGCGTAATCATGTACGTTGCATTCGATGGATCTGGAGTACACAACGATTCTCCTTCTCAGCCTAAACAGAATACCAACGATCCTTTCGCTTCTGCTTAAACCATATTTAGCGCGAAGGTTGCACTGTGAACGATTGCCACAGCACTACGTCACAACCCACAAGGACAATTTAATGTATGCCTCTCAATATTTAAGATTCGTACAATAATTACAGCAAACGGCAAAAACGACTTCATTTTTATAATTATGTATTATCGACAGTTTATAAGTTACACGCATATGTTCAGTTGGTTAATGAGCGAGATGTGTTTAAAAACCGCGACACCAGTGTTTATTTATGCTGTTAGAAAGCACAGGCTCTAGCAAACCTTTCTACGTTCATATTATTTTCCATACATTCTGTTTACGCTCAGGTCGCGCTCGAAGCGTCAAAAGCTGCTTCGCGATTTACTATACAAGATACGTTCAATTCTGTTGTTTCGGTTCTGAAGATGCTTTCTCGGTCGAGAAATTTCAAAGTACGACACAGGGTGAGCGGATTTATGTTTTTCTGTAATTAATTCACAAATAAGCGGGCGCAAATGCTGATTATTTTCGCCATCACGAAATCAACAAAGCCGAAGAACAATTAAACAGGAAAGGTCACTGCAAAGCGTTTTATTACTCGTACATTTAAGCGGTTACTCGAACATGTAAACAGCTAATCGGCTATACAACGACATGCAAATGCTTGCAGTCGATTCTATACTGGATCAGTATCGCTTTACTGCGTGCTATTCTTGGCGAACACCACCAGCGTCGTCGTCTGGAAGACCCACTCATGTATCTCCCGGTGCGGGCGGAACCAGCACTGCACTTGGCCGGCGTCGGCCGCTGTAATCTCCCGCAGGCGGTAGCCATAGCGCATCAGTTGTCCCGGACTGTTGGTGCTGTTGAAATCGGGGTTCGGCGGACGACTGACCTTTCCGAGATCGCCGGGGGGCATCAGCGCTCCGTACGGCGCCTCCGCGGGGCCCTTGGTGATGCGGCCGTGATAGCGCCACATAAAGTGGTTGGCCATGTTGCGAAAGATGCCGTCCGGCAGCGGCAGCCGGATACTACACGACACGATAAGGCACTCGCCCTCGGTCGCAGTCAGGTAGGGAGGTTCGTTGGCGAAGACGTCGCTGCGGCGCGTGACAAGCGGCAGCAGCATGTACCGCTGCAGGACGCGGCGATGCGGCGTGTACACGGGCGCGGAGGGGACGGCGACGCAGTGCACGGATCCCCCGGAGCGCAGGGTGACGTTGAGGACGGTGAAGAAGAGGGTGTGGTTGTCGCGGGCGAAGGCGTAGGTCTGCCCCGTGGTGTCGTCTTCCGGCAGCGGCACCGGTTGTCCGGCTTGGAAGACCAGCTGGTCCTGGTGCAGCCAGGACACATGGTGCGGGTCGACGCCGGCGGGGACGCTGCAGCTAAAGGTCACGTTGTCCCCCAGTCGTGGCCGGTACACCACGCTGTCCGCCACACTGGGCGCGGGGGCCAGTCGGGTCAGGGTGATGCGGTCGTCCAGCCGGTTGTTCAGTAGCCCTTCCGCCAGCATATACTCCACTACCAGATGAACCGGTTACTGACTTCTGTACACGGAGTAGCGGAAGGTACAGAAATATTGGTAAATTTGCAACAGCCACCAAGATAACAATGAATGCAACCGCCGGTACACTACTTAAAATTTAACCATTAAAAAAACAATTTAACCAGTCTTCTCTGGGGTTAAAAGGTAGCGTGCTCAAAGACAGCCATGGCCCTTTCCTTTAAGAAAGGGCAAGACTAAAACACTGAATACTGAGAACAGTTACTGCTTTAGAATAATACTAAAGGAGCGAACTTTCCGTACAGCTACTTACAATCAATCCCTGGCACTCCTGGAGGTGGTGGTGATGACGGACATCCCGCGCACCAATGCAACTGCAGCAGCATTATATGTCGATGGTCTAGAAATATTCGGCTAACACGTATCTCTGCAGCTACCATATATAAGTATTATCCACGCAGTTATCTTTTTTTAACAAGAAAAACAGTTCAACACCGCAGTGGTAGTGCAAATAACTAGAGTAGGTTGGTAGTACTCCACACGCAACTTGTCAACTCTGAGTTTTCCACGAAAGGTAAAGTGATAGATGATCAACTTGTGAGTGCCGGCATTCTGTAAAAGAAATGGAAATGCACCAGACTGATCGGGCTCTAAGCAACCGCACGTTATTGCTATTTCAAACGAGCGAGAATAGTATGGGTATCATTCATAATACTCGTAGTTGTTGTTATCCCCATAGAAACGTACTCCATGCGCAATGCTTGTGCAGTCGCATATTCGACCGGAAGTCCTCCATATTCAGGACTCATGCTTTCGTTGGTGTCTGTCCGTTACGAAAGGTTGTCACGAAAGGTAGTTACGAAAGTGTTGCTGGCTGCTTTTGTTGCTAACCAGGGCACTGTTTCCGCCTCCAAATTAAAAAGAAACTCGTTTTTTGTACAAAGGTTTAGACTACCGTGGTATGCTTAAAACAATAATTTTATCTGCAGAGGTCAGTTAGGCGTATTTATTTAAAGAAAGTCATGAAACAGTGCAGAAAAGTGTTTGGAAGTGCGCGAAAGCGAACGTTTCAGCACGTGAACCCGAGTCTAAGACATTTACTACCATGTACCGGGCCACCGGCACACTTCCCTTAATAGACGAGTACATGTGCATGTTTAGTGTGATGTTTAGTTCGCCGATAACTTTCCAACCGGATGTTACGCGCCTAAACGATTTTCACGCCATTGTGTACAAATCATTTGTCCATAGAATTCAGAAAACGAAGCGAAGAAGTGCTTTGTGAATGAAATGTTTTCGCATATGTACCCGATTGTGGTACTATGTACCAGCACAATTTTCTTACGCTCAGTAATTATTAATTTTACCACGAGGAACATGCAGTTCACGGGAAATGTCAAAGTTCTGCATGTTGTAATGAATTCTATCATGATAGCTAAAGAGATACACATCGAACAGCCAGCAACGGAAACAGAAAGATTAGGATGGTACTATCTGCAGTAGCCCTTGTCCCGATCGGCCGATACATGCCCAAGTTCAATACGGCTTACTAAAGAAATTAAGCGCCCTGCGTCATAAAGTGATCTCGTTTGGTTCCTTTTCCGCTGATAATTTGTAAGTGACAATATATTTGTAAGTGATGGTAACTGTAGTTTCAATGTTTACAAAATTTCGGCTATTTATAAAACTGTACAACTGTTTCTATTCCTTTTATTTGCAGCTGTTTTTCACATTTTTCACAGCTTTTCACAGCTGTCCGGCTTTCAGCCGGACTACAACGTAAAGCTCTAAAAACCATCACTGATTACAAGATGCCGGTTACTCCGGAACTGTATCAGAAGTTGGGTATTCCTCACATATTCGACCGATGGCGTCAGAGCGATGCGGTGTGGCTGTTCAAGTTCTGGAACAAAGATCAGTTCCCGCTTCCGGCCTACCTCCTGGACATGATCTAAGTAAAAGATAACACCACGCGCTACAACTTGCGGAAGCCGGCCCGGATCGATGTTACGCGGGCAAAGAAAATTATCGGAGGGTGGACTATGGAAATGCGGCTATAAAGCGTCCTCCCCAGTGCAATTTCTAGAAACGAAATCAAGCCCGATCGGGGCACGAAACACTCTGGCCTATCCGGAGCATTTTCTGTTCCAGGATAATGGCATTTCCGGGCCAACGTATTGTGGGCCAGATCTGGTTCAGATTCGTGGGAAGAACTTGCCCCGCGTAGTGCTGAAATAATCTGGCCCAACAAATCATAGTTCTGGCCCACAAATAAAGTTTTCTTTATTTGAGTGTTCTAATTTAAGTATCCAACAAAATTTAGCGGTGTCAATCACAAAATTCCTATTGAATCACAAGGTATGATAATTAACCGGCAGCAAGTATGTACAATATATTTGTACATTTATAGTATGCAATGTACGTACTACGCACGTGTATCCGGTCCGAATAGAGCTCCGTAATAATAATTAATAATATAGTAATAATTGACAACTGCTTTAAACGTTTGAAACAACGCGCTTCAGTGATTGCATATACCGATGATGATATACGTAATATAATGATATTACATTACTTGAAAGGTATAAATGAGCATTGATTACACAAATCCAAAGTTAACAGCTAAATTACAGTACTACATCAACAAAATTATTCATGCATATAATTAAAAAAATTATTATTATTAAAAATAATATTAATATTATTACTATTAAAAAGTAATTAAAAATTATTACGATACAATTTACTGAAACATTTTGCTGGACGATTTTGAAACTGCCTGCCGGGGTAGTCCGCTTTTCCCGCGCTTGGAGGCGGTGCTACCGTTACGCACCATGCTGTACTTATTGCACATCACTGTAGCGTATTAGAGCTGGTGGTAGTGTTCGTTTCTGCAGATTGCAAACTTATAACAATAATCTGCTCTTCTACCAATTTGATTTCATCAGACCTCCAGTTTTGTTTTATATAATTGTTGTATTCACGATGGCATTTTTGTATATATGAAACTAATAACGACTGCCCCTGGGAAATGGTTAATAGTGATGTTTTTGCGCTGTAATTGCGTGAGTTTAGCCTTTACTGTTGCAACGGTTAGTGGGTTTTGGCAGCTCTCGACTTGCGTCAGTTGACTGGTTGTCAAAAACCTCTTTTCCACTGAAGATCCACCTTGTCGAAGCCTCCCATGGTTTAGGATCAAGCTTTAAAGTTCCGAACATGTGGAAATATTAGAAAATTAGAAAACAGGATGATCCCGTGCAGGTGCGTGCGTGTGTTTAAAGTACTTCGTATACAGTAAATAAAATCAATATGCAAATAGCAAAAATACTGTACACAGCATTTTATTTGCATTGGGAATTATTTTTACTAAATTTTTACTGATGGGACACGTTATTACCCTTGTTTTAATTACGTATTCTCGAACTATATTTAATATTGGGGATGATTTTCTTCGCGTGGGTGTGAAGTTTCTGTTTGTGAAGAAAATCTTTTTTTGTAGTCCAATTTCGTTAATTTCAAAATGCAGAAAATTTGTGATTAAAGGAAATAAAATTATTAGTTTATTACTAATAAGTGGGCTAATAAGTATAATATTTAATTTCAGGATTTTCCGCAATAATTCTCCATTTTCCGATGAAAATTTTTCCCAAACGCCTGCCCGCTGCCAGCACGCGCACGAACCCACTGAAGCTGCATGCCGAATATTTCCGATAAGAAGAACTTGGGAGTGAAGCTGTATACCATCGAGTCGGATGTGCCTTCGAGCAAAGCTCAAGCTGATGCGAATGTTTATTACGAAATTACTGAGCCGAAATATTGAGAAATAAATGTACTTACATATATAACCGATGTGCATCCTGTTTTTTTCATGTTTATGCCGTGATAATGCAGACTTGTGATCAGTGCATGTGATGCGCTACAATAAATATTAATAAAGCCTATTATGTCACTTAATAATAAAGCTTCTAAGTCATGTAAAGCGTTGGATTTAAGTAAAGTACAAAATAAAAAGCAACTCAAATTCAAAGTAAATTTAATGTTTGGACTGGGCCTGAACTCTGTTGCATATCGTGTTTAAATAGGCCCAGGCGGAACCAGAACTTGCTCAGAGTGGGTCTACAAATAGGCCTTCCGCCCGTTTGCCGGTAGGCCTGAGCTCTCTGGCCCGCACAATGGCACCTCGGACTTGGTTTCTGGTCCCGAACAGGGGAGTTTGACAGGCCCAAACAACCCCTGTTCGGGTTACAGATTTGCACTGGGTCTTGATAAAATTCTTGCTGTTAATCCTAAAATTCTCGAAGCAGCTTCTGTACCTTTTCTCAAATTTCTACTCAGATCTGTTAAACTCTCCTAAATGTTTTCGTTAGCAGAAAATTGTTTTTGTTCGACCAGACTTGAAGTCCCTTCGGGGTTGTCTGCTCTTGTGCCGTAATAATAATAATAATTTAATCTTTACAATTGGTTAAAAATCCTGAATTAAGGTCGTTCCTAGAATTCTAGGTAAAGTTCCTTCATATCCCTTGTGTTTTCCTTATGGCGATGATTTTGTTTGTTTTTATCAGTAGTATAATGCCGTAATAAGAGCGGGGTGTTGATGTACAACTACGGGAAGAAAAAATTAGTAAAAGCCAAAAGGTGTTTCTCCATAAATTATGCAGTGCTAAATGGTCGGTACAATAATTACATGGAATATACGTACATACGTACAAGACCAAAATCGTGTGCTTGCTGGGTTTCTGACGGAGCATATACGGATCGGTGTAATCAGCGTGAAAATCGTCCAAGCTAGCGAGCTCGTTATAATCTGAAAAAACATTTTCCGTTCCCGGAATACTGAAGCCAGAATTAGGAGTAACTGTCAGTCTGCTCACCAGGGCAGAAATTCCCGCCATAAGTGGCACATCATCAGTGTCCAGAATGGCAAAATTAATTACCAAACGTGTCATTTTTTCCACCTGAGATGCAACGTGTTACCGTAAAACCCGATATTAACGCCCTGGGCTTTTATTTTTTCGAGAGCTTCCGGAGAGGGCACTTAAAACCGCAGGGGGCGTTTATTGCGGGGGGGCGTTTAATATTTCAAAGAAATATCGCGCTCAGGATATTCAAGTTTTAACGAAATTTGTATGTGTGGACATTAAAGGAATAATTTAGATACCAAGACATTTGCTAGAAAATCATGATTTAACAGGTGTGCTTAAATGGAATCCACGTAACTTAACAAGATGTAACATTCAGACTGTAACGACAATGCTCTAAAAAACCGCGGCGCCGCAACTTATTAGGCGCCCCGGGGCGATAATTTCGGGGGGGCTTCTATTATTTCGAGAGCTTCGGGAGGGGGCGTTTAAAACCGCACGGGGCGTTAATTTCGGGGGGGCGTTAATATCGGGTTTTACGGTATATGCATAAATTAAAAACGGATGCTAGTTAGTTCGTTAATTGGTTCGTTAGTTCATGTAGCTCCTTCGTTGCTGCACCGACTATCGTGCTGCCACAATCCACCAGTCGTTTACGGAGATTTTTATTTGCGAATACGATCGTTCCTGGATACCTGGCGGCTGGCGTAATAAGAATGCATGAATCGCGTCAACAGTGTGGCGTGGCTTTTTATAGTAGGAAGACTGGAGCACTCCGTCAAATTTGAAATTTGTTAAGAACTTAAGAATAAGGCGTCACCGCGGAACGGTTGAGCTGCCGTTGGCGTGCTGTGTGTACTTTAAAATATCTCCAATACTTAATTCGTGTAAGTATTTTAGTAGAAAACTTCACCGGCATTGAAAATTTAACAATTACCGAGCCATGCACCTGGTATTAATCCAATTAGAATTCGATCTGCCACCCTAAACCACAAGGAAAACGAAGGCAAAAGCCGAAACTGTTTCTTGAAAACGTAACATTGTTCCAGGACAGTGCAGCAACAATGCTTGGCGACTGTCATGGCAACAATTGTGGCCGCTTTTACTACAGTCTATGCATGCTTGGCGGTTGTCTGCTTTCCTAACGAGCGGTTGACACTACGAAAATACAAATCTGAAAGATGGTGTAATCGCCGACAATACAGTACGTATCTATCTGCAATCGCATGTACATTTAATAAGTTCTTGTCGTTCTTGTTTGTACTTTATGTTATGTGGCCGTTATGTTAAGCAGGACAAACCAGCGCAGCAAAACCAATGCGTTGTACAGAAAACTGAGCCTGCTGTGACGTATGTACGTATGACTTTTATAGTACTTTGCAGTGAAAAAATTAAAACAAACATTGACAGTACTGTGATCGATGCATTTGGGCGTGGTGCGTGATTTAGCGTGGCTGCAGCTGAGCGTTTTCAGCGTGTGCTGGGGATGCCTGCCTCTCCCCTTTTCCCTTCAAGGGCCGCAGTCCAGCGTGCCGCCGGCGATCAACCGTAAGTGGGCTGTGGATGTGATTCGTGGAGGCAGACCTCGTATTGTTACCATAGCATGAGTGAACCTTTGTGCGGGCCGCACAATAATTATTTCGTGACCACTGACTGTGGATACTTCGTTTTAACGCATACTGCGCAAATCAACCCTGGTCCGTTCAAACTCAACACTGGAGACTGGCAAATCAAATTATCGTCATATCGTCATTTCATTTTCAAAAATTTTATTTATCTTATTACAAAATAAGATGAATAAAATATACGAAAAAATAAATAAAATTTAAAAAAAATTTAAATAGATGAATATAGTCAAAAAATTTGCAGTGGAGGGTATGATCACAGACGCCATGCTGACCAGCCGGCAGGACGAGCGCCTGACTCTGCCGTTGGCCCCGGATGAGCGCCTCCAGCAGGGGGAACTGCGGCGCCCCCAGCTGGGCGAGGACGCGACGTTCAGCTGCGAGGCGCCGCCCGGGGGCGACTGGCGCTCGCTGACCTGGCTGCACCGCGGACGCACCGTCTTCGAAGCAGGCCACGCCCAGCCGGAAGACCCGGCACAGCGCTACAACGTCAGCCGCGTGGGTGACCGCCGCCTGCAGCTGGTCGTCCTCAACGTCACCGCCTACTCGGGCGGGCCGCTCCTCTGCGTGGATGCCACGCCCACTACAAGGAGCTACACTGGCCCACCGCGCGTTCTGCGCCGCTTCACGCTCCTCCCGCAGATTACCCGCGCCAGCGAGGTCTTCGAGCCGCAGCTGGAGACACCGCACGTGACCAGCGTGGGCGTCCCCATCATCATCCCCTGCCGCGTCCGCTTGCCGCTCCCGGAGGCTATTTTGCGCAATCAGGAGAACCACTATTTCTGGCGCTACAAGGGCCGCATCTTCCGCCCACCCACGGAGCTGCCGTACGGTGCGCTGCCTCCGTCCAAAGAGGTCTTGACGGGAACTTACAACCGGAAAATGACCTTATCCCCCAATCTGCCCGGACAGTTTCTGGACTATGCACTGCAACTGACCGTTCGGGAAGCTAACGCAGGCGCTGAGCTGCAGTGCTTCTTCCGGCCGCACGAAGGCGTCCATGAGTGGATCTTTCAGACTACTACGATTACTGTTCTCAACGAATAACTATGCGAGCATACAAAGTTAATACGAATATCAAGTCTGCTGTCGACATAAATTGTTGGATATCTTAGCTTTCCTATGTTCCTCTGTCTTGCTTATGTTGCCCATATGTCTGATATCCGAAATGGAAGTAGACCAAGGGCCTCGAACCCACTCATTACTTCCGGTTGCGAAGCATCGGCCTGCGATGATGGTTGAGGTAGGTATAAAAGCTTCCGGTGAATCATTTCCGGTCGGTTCGTTCGTCCCTGGAAGCTGGAGCTGGCGAAAGGAAAACTCGGGGGCATTCTTGTGTTGTCGTAAGGCTACTGGTAATGGTCGGTTACGGTCTTAAGGGAAATGGCTCGGTACATGGTGTCAAAAATGGGATACATACACTGAAACTTTCGCTTTCGCGCACTCTGAATCACTTTTTTGTAATACTTTATATCATTCTAAAGCTAAATGATTTGTATACATGGTTGAAAAAACGCTTGCGCGCGTAACATCCGGTTGCCGAGTTACGGCGTACTAAAATAGGTGAAAAGTTTAAATGCATTGTTGTGTACCAAAAGTACGTTTATTACCCAATCTTCTTGAAACTTTGCTGTAAAAAAAACATGGCCATAAAGTTGAAAGTGAACCAATATCAGATTTATAGAATTTCAAAAATTTTGAAATTCATTTTAAAATTATGGGAAAGTGCTATGAACCTGAAATTGGTTCACTTTCGATTCGGCTGTAGTCTCTGAATTTGTATGAATGTATAGTCTGGCTGTGCATTGCGGCAGCCTGTTGGTAATGAGCGCTCAAGTGTGGTTGCTTCGTGTTGATGCAGTCATGTGATATAATACTCTCCCAAGTAAATCCGCCCGTTATCATTAAATAAATGTTCTTCCGATCTGAGGATATTCAAGCGTGAATTAAGATTTCTTTATGTGCTTAGTTGATCCCCCTAAGTATCCAGGATTTGTAAAATCATTCTGCTATTTTAACATCATTAATTTAATGTAGTGAAAAGCGTACAGTTGTTTGTAAGGGTGTAAAAACGAGTCATAATTGTACATCACTACTCAGCACCTGACACGGCAAAAGAAATGCATTTTCCCGGCGCTGACAAGTGAGAAAAAGGCATTTTGATTGACGTTTAGGGGAAAGCGGAATTGCTGATTAAGCAGCTGACAGTGGGATTCGTAGAGAAGGATTTCCGTGTCTTCTCTGGCAAGAATGCTGAGTACACGCCGCTACAAAGAAATCCAATACCGGCTTAACATGACATGGTACTCAAACCTTAAGTACGTACATTCTAAGAAACGTACGTGACAAAACTACACCGCACCCGGAAAATGAAGATGGAAGACTACGCGTTGTCTGTTGTCCAGTGAAAAGTGAATCATTGTTATGCCGTGCGCGGGCCCGTGACTGTATACTGTAACAGGATATATAAGAACCTCTGCGTGTAGAGAAACGCTATTTTACACTGGTGCATTAGCAATTTAGCATGTCTAGCAAGTTGACTGGTATTCTGGATAGTGCAGCGCAAAGCAGTTCTGCACGGGACATGCACACCGGCCGCGGCAGAACATTAACGAGGCAGGATACGGTATCCGTGGTAGGGCATAACTCGATTGCTCTAACTGTGGGTTTCAGTACCGGTACTAAATCCTACCGTTAGAGCAACCTCGTTATGGCAAACCTACCGGTAGCGGCTTTGCTAGCGATGTAGCTGCTGTGCTACTGGTGTTAGCCATGGCATGGGGCATTTTTATTTGCCGTCGTAAAGAGGATTCTCCACTGCCTCGGGCACCTCCGGTAACGGCCAACATCCGACAGCTTCGAAAGGAGATTGAGATACCCAGGGAGAAAAAGCCACCGGCCGCACTCCACGCCCACTACCTGCCACTGGGAGGACAGCGAAACCCATCGCCCACTTACATTAGGCCCACTCGCCACGCACTTTAAGTGAGTTCTGTAAGATACAGAGCCGGAAGTTCTGTAACGTTTTGACCCCACCCCTCACCGCTGATTGGAAGCTCAAGGTTAAAGTGTTCTGCATCTAAAAGGAACTCTCCTGGCTCCGTTACGATACAGAACTCGCATTTCTCACCAGAAGTTCAGGTCGTTCTCACCAAGTGTATGCAATAACAAATTATTTTCCCTTGCTACCCTTGAACCCGAACATCTTTTTAGTGGTTTTCTGGTTTTTACCTGATTTCTAATTGTCTTAGTCTAACTTTCTTTAAATCACTTACGCCTGGCCCAACGCGTTCCGCGCTTAGGCAGCCACAGTCTTCGGATGATAGTGCCTTTTAACATACAAGTCTATGAGTGATACGTCCTGTTTTGAGTTCACTACTAGAGCTGATTGTTCCTGTTTTGACATCACTGGATCCGCAATAAAATGTTACCCTAGCTAAAATAAAAACAAACAACACCTGTATCGACCATCTATTTGTGAATAATCAATTTGTGATGTGAGTGCGCAACTGGCATTATGCTGAAAGTTTCGACCACATATTAAACTGGAAAATTTTGAATCTCGTTGCTCTGTAACGCTCTGTAAGATTAAGCGCTGTGCCACTGGTAGATTCACTTTTACAGAACTCCCGGCTCTGTGTCTTACAGAACTCTTTTAAATTGCGTTTCGAGTAGTACTATTAACACTTACACTAAGATTTTCGGTATCTGGAGCTGTTGAGAGTAAAACGCGGGATTACTGTTGTTGGCGCAGTTGGTTATTCTGCGGTTTACATTGACTGATATACACCAGAACTCCGTACCCCATCACTTCCAGTTCGGTAGCATCAGGCGTGTACGCTATTGCAGTTTACAGTGTTTTACAGTGTGTAATCTTCCCGGTATAAGCCTTCATGCAAAGCTTGCAAGCGATTTCGCTTCTTTGGACTACATAAACTAATAAATTCATAATCATGCAAGGCAACGTCTCGCTTGTTAATCATGACTCGTACCCCACAAGACACCATTAAAGTATTCAGCGGCAAATCAATTTCTAGAGTAATTGTGACAGTGTTACGTATAATCTGTAGTCTGTACATTTTATAAATTAAAAATGTCGCACAGTACTGCAATGCTTCATGGCCGGAAATAAATAATACTACGATCTGCTGATTCCGTATTCATACCGATAAAAATGTATTCATTAATTTTTTAACATGTCGAAAAACAAACTTGAAGTAAAATATTAAAAAAATTTAATTACTTATTAAAAAATTATAAAAATTGTTATAATTTATGAGTGTAACCGTTACTAATGTCTGTTACTCATGTTGGCACCCAGCCCCTTTGTCATACACCGGCCTTAAAGGCGAAGTTGTTGCTCAGAAGTTTAGTCAGTCTGACTGTTTTACTGAGTACAGCCCTGCTACGCCAAGTTCGGACAGTAACAAATATTTCTCACCTGCGACCGTTGATATCTAACCTTCTGATTTAATTGTTTTATGATAGATTACAATCAACAGCAACTTTCTGGATTACGTTTCTATGCAAAAAGCTACAATGCCGGAAAAGGGAGCAAAAGTTTTACTTGCACTTTTTTTTAAAAAAACGCGCTGCTTCCGAAAAAATCACCATGTTCAGTCGATAATAGTTTAAAAATTCTGGAAAATTGGAAACTTCCAAGTGGTATTTCGATTTACTAACGGTCCCTTTCTAATATCTATTTAAGTACTTACATCCTCACAAAAGCGATCAGCGCACTAGGCAACCACATTCTTCGGGAGATACCTTTTAACATGCAAGTCTATGGGTGACAGATCTTCCTTCGAGCTCACCTGGCGCACCGATCGCGTAGTACTGTTTCGTTAGCCCGTACTAGAGACCTTGTCGGTCACTGAAAAGATTTCGCTAATGTTCGCACAAAACTATTGGTTGGGGATTTTACGGGAGCCGCCGATATAAGCAGTTCGGTAATGACCCTTACCCCAACCCTTTGATTTGCCCCCGTCTTCTCGCTGACAGATCAGAAGATTCCGAATTTGATATTCCCAGATTCGCGATAAAACGTTGTACTAGAAAAAATGAAAGAGCTACACAAAACGGGAAAAACGAATATTTTATAATTTATTTTCAAAAGTGTCCGAACTTGGCGTAGCAGGGCTGTATATAAGATGCTACAATTACAATGTTAACGACACTTGAATTACTGTTCATTAAAGCAAACTACCAAAACCACGTTAATTGTATCAGATTATGAGACCTGCTTGTCTCTAAGCAGTGTTAAGTTTGTTTTATCATTGTTGTGTGGATACTACAATGGCGCAGTTCAAGAGTATTAAGGTCACCGAGTTGAACGACTCCAATTACTCGCGACGGAGGGTACAGTTGGAGGATGTGTTGACTGGTGAGTCTTTGTGGTCCGTTGTTAATGGGACACTAACGATGCTCCAGGATTTGACAACGGATAAAGCAGCACAAGAGCACCACCTGAAGTAGGTAGCTGCCGATGGGACAGCCAAAAGCATATTGCGTGCTACAGTGGATGATCCCACCTTCAATCAGTGTCGAGACTGCAAGACGTCCGTTGAGATTCTAAAGAGGATCTAGGAACTGAAGGAGCCGAAGACTGATAACAACTTGATGTCGGCGATGAGCGAGTTTTTCGAATGTTCTAGCGGCCAAGATAGGTGCGTGCGGGAAGCGGGAGAAGGTCACGACTCTTGGTTGATCGGGAAGACGCTTGCTTGCTTGCTCAAACAGTACGCCTCTTTTGTGTCGTCGTGGAACATGATGGCCGGTCCTGATCCAAAAATGTCCACGTTACGGGAGAAGCTGCTTTTAGCGGAAAAGACGATGAAGGGACAAGGAGAAGGAAGCGGGTCAAGTCCAGCTGGTGAGTCACTGTACACGAAAGGTAAGATGCTACTGAGTGGAGCGAAAAAGTTTACGGGGAACTGCCGTATTTGCGGGAAAGTCGGTCACAATGAAGCAGATTGCTGGTCAAAGAGGAAAAAGATCTAGGCACCAACAAGCGACAGGACAAGTCCGGTCACGGTTACAGGAAGGAATCTTTAATGGTTTTAGCTTTGCATGTGGCCGGAAATACGGATGCGGTCATTGCTGATAGTAGGGCAAGTGGCCATACTACGAACAAGAACACCTGGTTTAAAACTCTAGTTAAGCTAGATGATCCCAAGCCGTTCGTGGTTGGCAACGACGTTTTTCCATGTTAAAGGAAAGATGACAATCAGCAAAGATGGCAAGGCGTTCCTCGGTGGACTGCGAGGTGACGGTGCATCGTACCGACCTTTCATACGTGTTGTGCCGCCAAGTGGAGATGCGCTGAAGGCGCAGCCTGTGGGAATTTGGCATCAACGGCTTGGACACGTCACCAACGCATTGGTCGGCTCCATGGTACGCAACAAGGTGGTGGACGG